AATCTTCGAGAATAAAAAGAGGCTCCGAAAACGGGAAGGAACCAAGAAGGTATAACAAAATCATAAGAACACCAAGCTTTAATGCAATCAAAAACATATACAAGAACCAAAGTCGGCAGACCTTTGGGTTTTTTAATTAAAAAATGTGGTTACACTTTTGAAAGGCAGTTGGGGAAGCGCATAAAAAATCAATAAATAAAATAAAATAAGGGAGAGGGGAGGAAGAGTTTTGACCGGGTGTTCACAGAAGATCAAAACGAGCTCAGACCCAGTAGGCTCAACATTTCTTTGATATTCCTCATTCGTCTCAAACATTAACAACCCTCGGTTGTCCAGCAAAAGTTCAGTACAATAAGCTGCGATTTAACTTGGGAGAGTAACTTCAAGCTCATAATAGAACTTGGTAGTCTGCATGGACCTTTCAAGGCATCTCACTACTTTCAGGTATTTATAAGCTAAGTGTAGCTCGTATGGCTGCATAGACCTTCCAAGGCAGCTCACTACTTTCAGATGTCTAAGAGCTAAGCTCAGCTCGTATGACTGCATGGACCTTCCAAGGTAACTCCCTACTTCTCAAATACCTATGGACCTCAGCATCAAGTTACACATTCTCTTCGCCAAATCCACCAAACACAAGTATAGCAATCTCCTAAAGTTAGACCTCAGTTCCGTTCCTTTGAAAGGAGCTCGGTGAGCCAGTAGACTCGCAGTTCTAACAGATTTGCTTTTAGAATAACTCAGTTCTTCTCAAAGTAAAGGGGGGGCAAGGAAAGGATATAAAGTAAAACAGCACAACTCAAAGGCAAAAATTAACGAGTACAAATATAATGAAGAGAAGAGAAGTTGTGAATCAATTGTGCTATTCAAAAACAAAAAAGAATTACATTTTAGCGTTACAAATTTTTCTCATTTTAAAAGCCCTAAGTTCCTGATGGGGGTGTAGTTGAAGGACTCTACAGTTCAGTAGGAGAAGTCTCAGCAGCAGGAGCAGGAAGGGAGCCTGGAAGTTCAGCAGAGGAAGTAGTTAACAAATCCTCCATTGAAGGCTCTAAGAGGGAAGAGGTTGGGAGCTCGGAAGTCGGAGCTTCTATAAGCTCTGAGGAAGGTAGGGAAAGAGGAACCTCAGGAGTTTCTGAGGCAGGGACATCGACCTCTGTAAATGGTGAGTCTAGAGCCAAAGCTTGGAAGACGAGGTCGGTAGAGAAAGGGACAGCCTTAGAAGCAGGAGGAGGCATGGTGTTAACCTCAGGATCGACTGCCTCTGCCCTCTCCTCAGTTGTTGTCCAGGGTAAAGCTCCTCAGCTCTATCTTGAAAGGCAAGCCACCCGAAAGCCCACTGAGTGGTGACATCATCAGCTAGCTTGGCAATTAGACTGTCTTTCTCCTTACCTGCTGCCCTCTCCATCTCAAGCTCTTCCCGAAGAGTGTCGTTTGTCTCAGTCAGGAGGTCATATTCCCTCTTCATAGATTGGTAAGAGCTCAAAGCCTCAAGGGACTCCTGACTGACTTTGAGTCATTCATCTGTTTTCTGCTTGAGCTCCCAGAGATTTTNTCGGTAAGAGCTCAAAGCCTCAAGGGATTCTTGACTGACTTTGAGCCATTCATCTGTTTTCTGCCTGAGCTCCCAGAGATTTTTCTGAGTTCCTCCTTAGTTTTTCTGACCTCTTCCTTATAACTCCTGCTTTCACCCTCAATCCTCTCTTTCTCTATTTCAAGTCCCTGTTTAGGGAAGTCTGCTTCTCCATCTGCTCCTACAAATCCTGGATCTGAGCTTTGAGGTCGTTGTTTTCAAAGGACAACTCTGTGACCTTAAGCTCGAAAGCTCTGGAAGTCTGAACAGAACCCTCCATGGCTTGGATTCTTTTCAGCAGCCCGCTAATATGGATGGCCATCTGAGAGCAAACCCAACCTAGGAGAAGCTTAGATCAGAACGATCAAATAAAAAAGAAACATATATGTACATATATAGCAGAACTTACGGAAGTAGTGGCAAAGAGGGCAGTAGAAATGGAACTTCCAAGTGGCATAGTGGAAGCCCGCTGAATGTCAGACTCAGGGAGGATAGAAGCAATGGCCTCAGCAGCTCGCTTTACGTTATCAATCAAAGAGCTCGAGCTTGCCTCGACACTCCCCCTTTTCTCATTTTTGCAGATCTTCGAATGTTTTAGAGATGGTCCCTCAGAGGAATAAGGGAGAATAGTTTTCGACAGAATGCGAAAAACCATCTCCAAGACTCTCTCAACCTCTGCTGAAGAGGGAGGAGTTGGGGTCAGACCTTGTTTAGGGACCCCACTAGAAGGGGGCAGCCTGGTCTCTTAGGAAAGAGAGGTTTGCGCAGCCTTTGGGGAGTCCGAGGAGGTTGGGGGCCCCGTCGGGGTCGCTTGAGGTGAAGTAGGGGTCACCTTTAGTTTTGGAACTTTAAAGACTGAGTCACTCCCTGATCTAGCTTCAGCCTTGCGTTTGCTTCCACTCCGGTTCTTTCTCATCAAAGAAAGCTTGGCATTTCGATCCTTTGCAATTGGCTCCATCAAAGAAGAGCCTGGAAACTCAAGGAAGAACCAATATAAGAAGGAAGGAAAAGGGAGGAGGCAAGTTTTAAAAAAAAAAAAAAGAGAGAGAGGCAAGGGCGAAGGAACTTCACCTGTTACCTCCTCAGCCCTGACAATGGAGAGTGGGATGGGGGGCCTCTACTGTTACCTCTGGAAGGCTGAACCCTTCCCTTACTAGAACCCAAGGCTTGATGAGTTCAGAATATTTTTCTGGTTTACACTTCTCCAACCTCAGCAGCACCTATTCGTCCTCAGTGCTGAGCTCAGGATGAATACCTAAAAAACAAAGTAAGGCAGGACAAGATCAGGTGGGCTCTCCAAATCCGAGCTTGGATAGTTTGAGTAAGGACTTACCCAAGTTATCAGGGGCAGACCAGTCTCTAGGAATGGGGAAAGTATTTGTCTTATCAGTGGGGTTGTACTCCCAGTGTTCTCTCCACACGAAGAAGAAAAGTTTTCTCCAGCCTTTGTAGGAGCACGGGAGGTCAGAAATAATCTGTTTAGCCTTTACCCGTTTAGAAACATTCAAGAAACCATCAGTAGGGGTATACTTAACATTGAAAAGTTCCATTAGTAAGGAGACAGTGGGAACACCGAGCTTGTGTAGCTTGAAGAAAACAAGGAGGCCCACCAGGACACCCCAGAAATTGGGAGACAACTAAGCAGGGCAGATGTTGAAATGTTGGAGGACACTTTTGACAAAAGGGTGTAAGGAAAAGCGCAGACCATTCTCAAAAGCAACAATAAAGAAACAAACCTTCTTATGGACCTGGGAGACATATGAGGTAAGCTTATCAGGGCACTAGAACTGAACTCCAAGAAGGAAACCGTAGCGAGCACTAAGGACCTTCATTAGAGGTGGGCTGACCTCATTGGGGCCTGTGAGCTCAGCAGCTCGAAAGGTAGCCCCTGCACCTTCGGCACTGTCTGAGACACCAACTCCGCTCACCTTAGTCTTGCTCTTACTAGAATCTTTGGGAGCAAGGGGGTAGATAGGGGAGTTTCTTCGGTGTTTCCCTCGGCTTCAGCAAAATCAACCCCAGAGAATTTGTCAATTTTCTCACCTACCTTGCCTAAGTCCGAGGTGTCCTCAACAATCCTATCCCCCAGAAGGGAAACAGAGGAAGGGGTGGCTTCAGAAGAGGCAGACATGGTGGGGCAGGAAAAAGGGAGTCGAACGGTACGATAGAAGGGAGGAATATTTGCGAAACACTCCCTAAGGGTTTGGGGAGCAACACAACAACTCCCAATAAGGAAAACCCTAGCGGTCGAATAAGGGTCCAAGAAAAGGGGAATTCGAGATAACGATCAACCTCGGTTTCTAAAATAGCAAAATCGAAAGGTCCAAAAATACAAGAACCACATCAAATCTGAGGGATCCAGAACGAAGAGACAAACAGAAGGTAAAAAGCGTATCTAGAAGAGGAGGAACGGTAGGCCAAAGCCAGAATCAGGGGCAAAGAGCAAATCTCGTCGAAACCTCGGATTAAATTAGGGAAAATCGTTTCCTCAGCGAAACCCTAGTGGCACTAGCAAAATTGAAAAATTGAAAGTCGAAGGAGGAAGAAGAGAGGGAAAAAGTACAGAGAGGGAATTCAAAGGATGAAATGAATCGTTCCCCCTCAATTCGGAGGCATTTAAAGCTAATGGTACAGAGTGGAGAACATGCACGAAAAACTAGAAAGTGAAATGATTGCCTAAAATCGTCAAAAATCTATTCGCGCGCAAATCGAGGTCTACATCTGGAGGTCAGGCCTGTTTAAGCCTCAGCTCAGCCCCCACTCAAATTCACCTGGAGTAAGAGCTGGGGGGCAACTGATAGTACTCAGAATAATTTTCAAGCATGAGGTTGGACCAGGAGGTCAGACAAGCAGGTCTGAAAAATAAGTCAGGAAAGACACGCAGAGCCCAGGTCAGAGCTAGAGCTTTTCCCCAGGCACGCCAATAGCGGAAGTGATAAAGAAACAACTGGATGATAATAGAAATATGTTAGGTGGCAAAGAGCCATATTCTAGGCATAAAATCATTAATCAGCCAAGATCCTCTCCTAAGATTGAGAGTTCCTTGGATAAATAGCAAGGATTTCGGTGCAGATCTCATAGAACTAGCAACAACCCTATTAATATTATGTAACTCTCCCAAAGCAAGAGAACAAAAATGCTAGTAACATATACTCTATCCTGTAAACCTTCTGAATGATGAGTAAAGAGAAAAGGAACAAGAATCTCCATTAAAGAGTGAATTAGCCGAGCTCCCGAACTGGTGAACCACTATAATTCTATTGCGTCAATCCCCCAATTTCCCATCGATACCAATCCTTACTCTTTCGAGCCTTGTAGTTCAGATCCTGTAGCTCAAATCCTAATAGCCAGATACTGATCATTCCATCTGTTCATTACCATAAATTTACACCGCATTGATTTACACCATCAGTTGTTATGAATCTTATGATCAACCCTGAAGAAATCTTTTCGTCTCCAGTAGAAAATCACAATGACCAACCTCTCTTTCTCTCAACTTTACTGTCATATGCATTTGAAGAAGTTCTTCATGTTCTTAGATTCATATGTATAAATAATAGAGATAGAGAAGGGACTGACCTGGGTCACCGTGAACGGCGCTTATGAGCTGAAGTGAGATACGTCTGCTAAAGAGCTCGTACACCCGATCAAGAAACGAGGCACCCACATCATTGAAGTCCAAAACATTCTTCTTCATCAACTTTATTGTCCCTTTGATCTTCATAACCTCACTCTTGTTATTTTCCTTGGGCTCATCTCGAGCCTTTCCACAAATCATTTCTAGTGTTTTCCCTAACATCTCTGGAGTACAACAGTTCCCCGTTTGATCAAGCCCTTATCAGAACAGATTGAAAGATGGTATGAACCGGAATGTGATTAGGAAGATGGGTATTAATAAGAGAAAACTTAGTGGGTACAATGGGAATAATAGCTTTCTGTTGTACTAGTAATGTTCATTTTCTTGACTTAGGAAGACTTCGGTATTTTAAATACCCACTTGACCATCTTCTACGATGGACAAATGAAATGTGATCTTGGGCGAGAAAATATTGTGTACTTATAAGGTACCAATATAAATTGCCGCAACACTTGGTTGTCAGACCCATACAAGTTGATTTTTTCAAAAATAATTTTGACAATTTTACAAGTGGTATCAATTGATTAAAAATGTATAATATTTTATGAGTAATGTACACCGCATGATACTGTGGTGTCTGCTGAGTTCTTTGGGAGGGTTATGAAGTTTCAGTTTTTGTCTTTCCTAGAAAAAAAAAAGTAATAAATGAGTTGATTCCACCTTGGCCAGCCCATCTAGCTTTTTACCAAACATATTTTAAAGGATTGTTGTGTGTGAATACACACACACACACACACATATATATATATATGCCTGTGTGTATAACCTGTCAGTTCATCCATGGTGTCTCCTTGAGAGGTTGGATTGAACTTTGACTCCACCTTGGTTGGTTGGCATGTTCTGAGTATATGGCATAGCATAATGCAATATGAAAACCGGCTTTATAAGCCTGTTGGCTTTCGACAAAAAAAAACTGTCTTCAGCCAGTTAGGGTCTCTCTCTGTCTCTCCATGACAGATACACCCAAATGGTGGTTGTAATAAATTAATGTTGGGTTGAACCTAACCAATAAAGATGCAAAAAATATCGTAGTTCACATTTATGATCAGTTACAAAACTGAAAAGTGAAAGAATTGTGTGATTCCTTGAAAGCAAGAAATTGGGAGGCAATTACGGCTCACACTGCACCAGATAACCAAAATGTAGTTGTATTTTAACTGAAGTCTGGAGAGATATAGCGTTTGGGTTATTATTTGGCGAGAGAAAGGTATTGACCTACCTAGTCAATGTGAAAATGACCCATGCCTCTCTCTCTCTCTCTCTCTCACACACACACACACTTAGTATCAGAAGTGTTTTTGAGGAAATGGTTGTTGATAAAAGACGAATGAGAAATTGATTATAGTTTATTGGTTGAGGGTTTGATTAGAGAGACCATAGAAGTAACTATGGGAAGTAAAATTACAATAAATAAAGATGACAAAAAGGTATGGAATCGGCTTCATCTTCCCTGGATTTATTTCCATATTCACTTGATACCCTTTCAAAATGAGTTAAAAGATCCCTTGGTTAAACTTTAAGTTATATGGCAAAAAAAGGAATTAAAAAATAAGGATTAAATGATGCAACAATTGACATGTTTGATACTTCTTTTTTGTTGATGATTTGATTTTCTNAGGAATTAAAAAATAAGGATTAAATGATGCAACAATTGACATGTTTGATACTTCTTTTTTGTTGATGATTTGATTTTCTTTTTATATCCTTTAAAAATGGTTTCTGCTGATGGTACTTTTTAAATGATTACTAGGTAGATTTCCTTCCTTTTTATATACTAAATTGAAAGATCTCCCCTTGTATATTTTCGTATTCTTATACTGAATTCTTGGAATCATCGGAAGGGAAGAGAAGGCTGGTGCATTGGTGTGGATGTATTTGTGGTGGTTATTCATTGTGTATGACTATGGGGTTCACTCAACAGTAGATCTCTCACTGAAGTGTACCCAAAGATCCTGCAATTATGCAGCCTATACAGTACGAGTGTCTTTACTTCAAACTATTTGTAAAATTTTAGGTTTGTATTATTATCCGTTTGTACAACTATATAACGTGCATTGTATACAAAGGTGTAAAATTTAAATTTTTTTGACACTTCGTACATGTCTAGTTCTCTTTCAATGTTTTTTTAAAATTATTTTCTTCCATAATAGACATCAGTCATGTATCAATGAGAGATTTAGTTTCATATAATAGATTCTACGCGAATTCACGATAAATAATTTATTAGAGAAAGAAAATGAAAAAAAAATTGAAATTCCACTCCCATTTTGTACATCTTTGCCAAACGATGTGAAATAAGGTGACAAAAGCATATCAATTAACTATGACTCCTAGTCCATTTTTATAAGGATGTTTGGTAACATTTTAACATAATTCATCCTTATTCCACTTGAGGACAAAGTCTGAACCTTTGTAACCCCACTTGAGAGAGAGAGAGAGAGAGAGGGGGGGAGAAAGAGGGAAAAAAAAATAATGGCACTTGTGATCTCCGTTTTGTCTCATTTTAGTTCCCAACATTCCAATTTCATCATATTGGTGATTGGTCTCTAATGTATTCAATTTGATTTAATTTGATCCCCACCATTGATGTCGTCCACTTGTTGACAATTCCATCACCATGTGCCATCCACGTGATGGGCATGTTTGACAAAACACCCTACTTAGCCAGTCAAAGGTCGGGCTATCTCAAAATGGTCATGACCTGATTTTTCACTTCCACTGCAATGACAATGGCAATGTTGAGAGCTTCTGATTGAGACAAAAGGGGCAAAAATAAGTTCTAGTATTGATCAAGACAAAATGCAAGAATGAATTTTTGCACCTTCATCTTGGTTGAGTGACGCTTAACTGTGGTACTATTAGTTCAAATTCTTTCATAAGCGAATGCTTTGAATTATTCTATTCTTATAGCAATCACTGTTTCAGATTCTGCTCTTTTGCAATTTTTGACCCCATATTCTGGGTGTGCCATGGGGGAATATTTGCGTAATAATGGAATGCTCGCCTTAATAATCTATGATGATCTTAGTAAATAGGTGGTGGCATATCGACAAATGTTATTATTGTTATGCCGACCACCAGGCGATGTTTTCTATTTATATTCTCATCTCTTTGAAAAAGTGGCTAAATGATTGGACTAGACAGGTGTAGGTAGCTTGATCGCCTTATTCATCATTGAAACACAAGTTAAAAACTTATCGGCCTGTATTCCCACAAATGTGATCCCTGATGGACAAATCGGTTTGAAAACTGACTCTTTTATCGTGGAATTAGACTTGTTTAGTTTTGAAATCTATCAGTCACATCGAGTCTGTCACTCAGTTGAAAGCTACGGAACAAATTTACAGCATCTCAAAACTTGAATTGAGTCCATCTTTGCTCAATTTGAGTCGGACCTTGATGCTGTGACTAAGGCATTATTCAGTAGATGTGCAAGGCTTACAAAAGTACCAAAACAACCACAATATGTACCACTTCCAATTAAAAAATAAATTCTAGTCGTTTATGTAGCTGTCAATGGATTATGTAATCAAATGCCACTAGACAAAATTTCTCAATATGAGAGTCATTTCGAGTAAATATAAAACTAGAATTACCATAATCCCTTTTAGAAAAAGGGGGGGTTAACTAACGAGAAAAAGATGGTTTGTTTCATTTGGAGGATGAAATGGAATCAGGCTGCAGAAGACGATGTTCCCCATTACAGTATGTATTGATTTTAAAAAGTCTTGATGTTGTCAAATGGATTTTTTTATGCAAAACAATTATTTGTAGCAATATTTTATAGTTTATGTGGTTGCTAGAAACAGTTTGTTTATGCAAAATGAATTTTATATGTTGTATTTTACGATGTATGCGTTCATTGGAAACCATTATAGTTTATGTGCTCCTTGGAAACAAGTTTTCACACCATTTGGCAATTTTTATGTTTTTCTTACAATATGTGTCAAAAAAATCATGTTAGAAGCTCTGTACAAAGCCTCACAAAGGAAATGTATGAGAAGACAAACCATCATTTATTCCACTTGTTTAATTGGGGAACATGTCTGCATCTATAGCTGCCTCTAGTATGATTTTGGAAAATAAATTTAAAACTGGAGGATACAAAAACCCAGTTGGTAGTCTTTTTCTTGTGTGGTACAACATTCTCCAATTTTCACGGCCTCAAAATACTCTCTAACCATTTCATTTTATAGCTTCATATTGAGACACTGTTCGGAATTCCCTTGCCGGTAAGTCCTCCAACTTTACTGGTATCTGATGTGCTAGGATAGAGCAAGGTGTAAGGCACTTTGACAGGCCCGACTCTGTTCTTCCATCTCTCGTCCATGTTTCTATCCAATATTCTACCTTCGATTTCTACCAGATTTCTTCCAAATCGCTCAAATGCCTCTCGTGGTTGAGCTTCAGAAGTCCATTCAGGAGTGTCTCTCTGCCCAAGATAGATCTCATCTGAAGAATGCCGGGACAAAATCTCTATCAGAGCCACACCCAATAGTGATTGGAATTGACTTGTGATTGTTTTCAGGAAGGCCCTTTCAGGATTTGACGCAAGCTCAGCATACTCGGGAGTGCCTGGCTCAAGCATGAAACGACGGCTTATGGTTGGACGGTTTGGAAGGTAGCCAGCATAAGGATATTGCCCAAAATTGACAGCTGCATGTAGAGCAGAAGCCACCCATATGATAATGTTGCAGGTTTGGACGAGTTCATCTCTCGTCTGCATCTTAGGCCACCATGGTTCATCTTTCTTGTCACCATGGCCCACATCACGTAGCTCTGTCCACCAGGATTGGAGTTCAGGGTCACTTTTGACCATGTCATCCACAGGATAATAGAAAGAGCAATACTCTGTGACCCAGCTTTTGATTGCAGACCAGATTTCAAGCCCATCAACTGCATAGGGATAATCCTCTATNCATATTTCTTGTCTTAGTTCACACTTTAACAGCCAAACAAACATATTAATGTCTTCCTGATACTATGGTTGGCCACCGAAAAGTCAATCTGATTTTGCCAAAGAAAAAGAAGTATGATAATGAGCAGCTTTGAATTATTGGGGACAAAAACTACGNAGATTTCAAGCCCATCAACTGCATAAGGATAATCTTCTATTAGAAGTTTGAGCCCATGTGGCTGGCTTGAGTCTGGAACTGCCACTCCTCTGCAATAAACCAAAAGGGAAACAAATTCATTGTTGGGAAAGATCCAAAAATGAGAACATTGTTGTTCCGGTGAGGCATGGTAACTAACCGTTTGAGCAGATCAGTAGGTAGTGCCTGGTCTGTGAAAACCCAGTTCTTGTATATAAAAGAAGACATTTCCATGGAAAATTTTGTTGGAAAGACTGTCATCTCCATTACCCCACCTGCATTGATGAGGGTTTGCCGACCCAAGGCATTTATATGCATTGTATCACGGAAATGGGGATGAAGAAGCTTATAAATTGGGTGAAGCACGCTTAATTGTCTGTTTGTTGCAATCACAAACGGTTCTATTACTGCATGGGTATTTAACCTGAAACCGAAATTAGAATCATTTAAGATATGCATTGTTAACTACTGAGAAGCTTCTAAACATTTGCCTAACTTGAATTTGCAGCATTCCATTTTTTATCCCTCAAGCATACCAGTGGCTAATGAGCTGATGATAGCCAGAATCATTTACAGCAGCATAAGCTTTGGCTAGCTGCCATACTGAACCTTCAAGTCGATGCTCTGCTGGAGTGAAGACTTGGCTGGTGACTCCATATTTGACTCCTTGTGGATGTGGTAAGCTCAACTCAATTGCCAGTGGCTTCAATGTCCCATTGTTTTGGAGTAATAGGATCGTTCGGCTGGCATAAGTCTTTGTGGTAGTCGAGTTAATGTCTTGCAGGTAAGGCATCAGTGCATCATGATGATCTAATATGAAGAGCTTGTTATTCTCAAGTGCCTGTAATTGCACAAAATTACTAAAAAATAAAATAAAATAACTTATATTAAAACTGCAACATGCACACACAAAACAAAATGCCATAGACTTGGAAGTATTCTCTTTTTTTTTTTCGTTTTTAACCCTTAATTTACTAAGTAAGTGAGCATCAAATGAATTAGGAATAAAATACTTCATCCACAGGGAGCCCATTCATGTTCTTCTCTATGTGCTCCCTTTTGATTGTACTGGTTTGATTTCCATATTCTTCAGGGTCAAGCTTGCTGGCAGGTGGAAACTCCTGGTATGTCGAAAATCAGTGAACGTTCTCGTCAGAAACCAAAATTCTTTACCAGGTAACTTCTAGAATGAAGTTTCGTTTTACCTGCAGGCGACGAATGATGACAGGGTTTACTCCAGCAAGCATTTCCCGTCCAAATTCTTCATCTGTCCTCCAGGCAGACTTATCCTCTGCAAGTATCGAGTGAAACTTTACAATCTTTAATATTAGTGATATAAGTGTACCATTAAGGCTCTAAAGCTTCAAAATACCACAAAAATGAAATATTTAAAACTCTAGTTCATAAAAGCCAAGTGAGATAGGGAATTTATTTATTTTTACCTCTGATTACATCAGGCATTGGGAGTTTGAATGGTCGCTCCCCATCGTTACGTAGGAATTCCTTAAGCATCTCCCATGGGATGCGTTCCCTGAGTTTGTTTAGTGTCTGCCCATTTGGTAGCTTAACCCCACCTTCATAGAGCTTTAGTACCGCTTGGAAATCGTTAAACTCGTTAGGACTTGTGTCAAGTGAACTGATCTCTGAGACCAATACCTGACCTATAGATTTGAAAGCATAAGCAAGGAAATCTGAAAACTTTACGTTATTGAATCGTTCATCCCGTGGAACGTATATGTCTAGATTAAGAAGTGGCAATCTGCTTTCACTGTTAGGATCTGTAAATACAATAGAAAAAAAAGAGCTGTTGATTAAAAGTACTAAAGCTGCCTAAAAACAAAAAAGTGACAGAAATATGACACTTTTTAAAATTCAACATATTTTCTTCCATCAAAGTTTCTAAAACAAGAAGAATTAAAACTGTCGGGATTTAACAACAATTTAAATTTATTAACAAACACACACAATCAAAGAACAAATCAAGAATATAAAGCAATAAGAAAGAAGAAAAAATAAGACACAAATTTTACGTGGTTCGGCAATTTGTCTACATCCACGAAACTGCAGGGATTTCACTATTAAGAGAGTTGAATACAGAGAGTAGCTGTACAATCTATCATATTAATTCTAATCACCAAAACAACGGGTTTTATATGTCCTACGCACTGGGCTATATAACGGGCCCAAAAATTTTCCTCGGAATGAGCGCTGCTGCGGCTTGGGCCCTTCGCTCCATGGACTAAGCCTCAGAATATTTTTCATTAAAAAATCACACAACATTATTTCGGGTTGGGTCATCGTCTGAATCACATATACAAACTAGACTCCACAAAAAACCAACAAAAATCACCTAATATGACTAGTTATCAATCATTAAATAAATATTTATATAACTCCCCTCTATAACAACTTAAACTTTAAGAGTAAATAGTTGTTTAATATAATTTTTCTCCTATAACAAAAAAAAAAATCACGTTGATGGACCGTACTTTTGGTGCAGATGATTGTTTCTAAGAAATATATCTTTTTCACTTCTAACCTTTTTTTGTGGGTGCACGACCTGTTCTTCCTCTTCGGGGGTATGGAAACTTCTCTGATCCACCAAGCACAGGACGTTCATACTCTTTGCCTTTGTCTGGACTTCCCAAATCATTGTAGTATGCATAGTCATAGACTCTGTCCCACTCATTGAGCTTTCCCGATCCATTTCCACGAAGATTAATGAGTTCTTCTTCTCTATAAAGGCGTAGTGGTTCTGGAGTGTTACATGGCAGGTAGGTCTGATAATAGAATCATGATATTAGTCAGTTGGTGTCCATATTTCTTGTCTTAGTTCACACTTTAACAGCCAAACAAACATATTAATGTCTTCCTGATACTATGGTTGGCCACCGAAAAGTCAATCTGATTTTGCCAAAGAAAAAGAAGTATGATAATGAGCAGCTTTGAATTATTGGGGACAAAAACTACGCATCATATGAAGTGTATTAAAAATATGGGGCCATATTTATTGCTTCAAACAAGACACAAAGAAGTGGGTGGTGTACCTCTCTCCTTTCTAATATTACCATAGATAATAATCATACATTATTTTTAAGTAAAGTCAAGTGAAAAAAAATTACCTTGTTTGCAAAGAAGACACGATTGTATTTGTAACGATGTTGTGGGTAAACCCAAGAATTACAAATGAAGTGGATTTGACCATGTCCGGGAACGTCTTCTAGGGTTACTGTCTTAAGGTAAAACTGACTGTGATGGAAATTTTTTATGATGAAAGCCCCAGGAACACCCATGGATTCATCCCACTCAAATAAGATGTTGAATGTAGCGTCTTTGGCCGATACAGAAGTGAGTGTTGAAACCCAGTTCTCCAGGAATGCTGCTTTTCCAAGCTCCCCTTTTAATCCATTTGCTGATATCAAATGTGAAAACAAAATTGATGAAATCAATAACATAGTTTGCTTATTATGATTCTGTTTCTCTTTTACTATTATCGAGAAAAAACACTGCATCAAAATTGTATATTTCCAAGCCGAGGTTAACAAATTAGGCTCAAAAGTATTAGAACCATTCGAAGGACATGCATAGGAGATTTGAGTTCTCATATTTGAGTTAAATTTTGGAAACTAAGCTGCTTTATTTGGTTGCAGGGGAAGCACATGAGAGAAACTCAAATGTCATCGTAAGTCTCCTTTTCTCTTCTCCAGCAAGACTATTTGTTGTAAGTGAAAATCACCATGACCAACCTCTCTTTCTCTCAACTTTCATTTCATATGCATTTAAAGACGTTTTCCATGTTCTTATATACAGATGTATAGCTAATAGAGATAGAGAGGGGGAACTTACCTGGGTCGCCATGAACGGCGCTGATGAGCTGAAGTGAGACACGTTTGCCAAAGAGCTCATACACCCGGTCAAGAAACGAGGCACCCGCATCATTCAAGTCCAAGACATTCTTCTTCATCAACTTTATTGTCCCTTTGATCTTGGTAACCTCAATCTTATTCTTTTCTTTGGGCTCGTCTTGAGCCTTTCCACAGATTATTTGTAGCGTTTTCTCCAACATCTCTGGTATAGAGCAGTGACCCATTTGAAAAAGCCCCTTACCAGAATAGATTCAAAAGAAGGTATGAACTGGAATGTGATTAGGAAGAGAAAACTTATTGTGTACAGTGCGAATAATAGCTTTCTAATGTAGTAGTAATGTCCATGTTCTTGGTGTTTTAAATACCCACTTGAGGGACAAATGATATATATGATGGTGGGGTATTATGAAGTTTTAAAAAAAGCTGGGGGGGCGGGTTGGTTTGATTCCACCTTGGCCATCCCATCTGGCTTTGTACCAAACATGTTTGTAAAGGATTATCGTGTGTGAATATATCTATATCTATACTAATTTAAAATTGGCATCCTGTCTTTTATGTCCTGCGTGAATATTTTCAGGACGTTCCATACGCGAGCTTTTGACTGGACTAGAGTAGTTGGTTATATGCGAACACAATTGGCGTGCTGCTTTCTAAGTTGTGTTTGATCTTTTGAGGAACTTTCTCTGCATTCCGCTTCCTCATAATTTTGCCTTTTGTGGTGGTTTCTTCATTAAAGAAAAATGATTTTTATTTTGAATTGATATGAATTTTTATATGGATTTGTCATCTACATGTAGATGTAAACTCATTGTAAGTACGAGGTATTAGTATTTCTATCGTTAATCTTTGTTAAATCATGCAAGTTTTGAGAAATCAGCACACACAATGGTAAAAAGATCACACTTCGTTGTTGAGTGGGTACATGCAAGTATAATACATCAACTAATAACAAAATTATGGACCTTGTTGTAAAAGTTAGCAAGTTGGTTTCATAAGGCTATATAGTTGGTCAATTATGAGCTAATATAATAAGATTAGTCCAAAAAATTAAAAAAAGAAGCTAATATAATAAGAGGTTAATGAACAGTTTGATTCATTTTACGATTCGAATGGAGATAGTTCAAGTGATAACAGAAACGAGTTATAAATTTAGATATCTTGAATTCGAATTTTGATAATATTTTAGGGGTAGATTATGAGGAATTTATTTTTCATGAATACTTTACTCCTGACGTGAATAACTTCTCTTTAATGGANATTTTTTAGGGGTAGATTATGAGGAATTTATTTTTCATGAATACTTTACTCCTGACGTGAATAACTTGTCTTTAATGGGACAAAAAAAAAATTAGTTAAAATGTGCATAAATTTGTCTCTAAGGTCCTACCGTTGACGAGAAAGACTGAGATAAGAGGCTGCTTAAAGAACAACTCCCGTGTTGCGGTCCATAATGCTGGCATTATGCACAGAAGATTGAAAATTTCCGAAGGGGTGTACGTGTGTGTAACCTGTAACCAAAAGGTGGTTGTATTAAATTAATGGTGGGTTCAACCTAACCAATAAAAAAGCAAGAAAATCCATTATGACCAGCAACAAATGAAAAGCGAAAGAAGGAAAATACTGTTTGGATTTAATTTGGAATTTAAGTTACTGGAATCTTTAGATTGGAAGTCTATTTTATTTAATATCTGAATTTATAAATAATTCAATTGTTGCATTAAATTATGTTCTTAATTAGGTCACTATAGTATTGTTCACGAAAGAATAGTGTGTTTGTAGAAAGAGCAATGTTATACCGACTTAATCAACGATCTAATTCAATACAGCAGTTAGATTAATTATAATGTCTAATGTTAGATAAAATCCACTTTTAATTGAATGACTACATTAAATTACGTCCCCAAGTCTCAAAATTAGATTCCTACAATATAAATGCTATTTTACTATTGTATCTATATATATAATATAAATGCATGGTGTATTGCATGTTTGATTATTTCAATTGCCAGAAGGGCTAAGATTAAAAAACAAAAAATCCCATTAAATAAATGCACATGGAATAATTGATTGGGATAGAATTGCTATAAAATATAGAGATTATATGCAACTTGGTCAATGTTTGAATTAACTTTATGATAAATTCCAATTGACCACATGAAATAGTCTGAATGTGTATTTTTTTTAAGGTCTCTTAAGTATGCACCAATTAGTAATCAATCAACATGTTTTAATTTAGTTCAAATCATGATAATTAGTCGTTGAGTTCAAGAAAATAATTGACACAAACTTGAATAACCTGTAACTAAAAAAAAACTAACAATCAATCAAAAGCCCCAACATAACACGATATATAATCCTAGTTGTATAAATTTTGCAATTTGGATTAGTTTGAAATGGACAAGGTGAATCCAGACAAAGACTATAACCAATTTGGAAGTCTAAATTTTTTTTTAGGGAGAATTACGTCAACACTTTTTAAAATTTGTCACTTAATCATTTAAATCCCTGACATTTGAAATATTATACGCNAATGATGGTGATAGTGGTGACATAATATTAGTGACAACAGCGACACAATGGTCATGGCGGTGGTGGTGAGGGTGGCAATGGCAATGATTGTGGTGGTAGCGGTGACACTATGGTGGTGATAGTGGTAGTAGTAACGATGGCAAAATTATGGTGGTAGCGGTAACATAATAGTAATGATGGTGACGATGACATAATGGTAGTAGTGGTAGTGGTGAAGGTGGTTGGTGGCACAATGATAGTGGTGGTAACATCAATGGTGGTGGCGACGATCGTGGTAGTGATGACAATGGTAGTGATAGTGGTAGTGGTAGTGGTGGTGGCGATGGAACAATGGTTGTGGTGGTAGTGATGACACAGTAGTTGTGGTGGAGGTGACATAATGATAGTGATGGTGGCGATAACACAATGATAGTGATGGTCNTCATATTCTATTGTATCATTTATTGAAGAAAAATCAAAAATAAAAATAATTTTTTTTAAAAAATAAATTGTAGTTTAGTATACAATTATCCTATCTATTGGAATAAAATAAAAAAATTAAATAAGGGGTCTAAATAATTCATAATAGAACATGAATTTTACAATCAAAATTGATGTTCTATTATGTCATTTATTAAAATAAAATCAAAATTAAAAATTTATTCTTTTCTTAAAAAATTATAATTAGTATACAATTATATTATCTATTAGCATAAAACTAAAAAATTAAATAAGGGGTCAAACTATAATCGACACAATATCTTCTAACTTAAATTGGGATAATTTGGTAGTTTAATTTGGTCGTTTAAATGACTAAATTAAATTCTAATAGATAGTATAATTGCATATTAATTATAATTTTGTTAAGAAAAAATTAGATCTGACAAATAAAAAAGAAAAAAAAATTATTTTTATTTTAATAAATTTCATAATAAAACATAAATTTTGGTTGTAAAATTTAAAATATTTGATATTTTATCTTTAATTGAAGTATTTTTGATCTACGTATAATATTTTAAACTTAAGAAATATAAATATTACATGCTTACAAACTTTAAGAAGTCTCGGTGTAACTTACTAACAGATATAATAACAAACATCGACGGTATGAGTCTAAATATTACGCGTGTACAAACCTTAGGGAATCTATATGTAATATTTTAAATGTTAGAGATATAAATGATTAAGTGACAAACCACATGAGGTATAGGTGCAATTCTCCCTCTTTTTTATCCTAACTTTAAGATTACATATCAATATGCAAATTAAGGTGGTGTTTGATAAAACTGAAACCTGAAAACCAAAAATTGAATTTTAAGTGCTGAATGCTGAATTTTTTGATTCGNCCCTTAAAATTTGTACGTGAGTAAAACTTAGACCCCTGTCGTCAATATCCATCCACATGCTAAAAAATTACACATAGACCCTAAAATTTGTAAACATATAATATTTAAACCCCTCAAGTTTAAAATACTATATTTAGACCAAAAATATTTTAATTAAAGATAAAATATCATATATTTTAAATTTTATAATCAAAATTCATATTCTATTGTATCATTTATTGAAGAAAAATCAAAAATAAAAATAATTTTTTTTAAAAAATAAATTGTAGTTTAGTATACAATTATCCTATCTATTGGAATAAAATAAAAAAATTAAATAAGGGGTCTAAATAATTCATAATAGAACATGAATTTTACAATCAAAATTGATGTTCTATTATGTCATTTATTAAAATAAAATCAAAATTAAAAATTTATTCTTTTCTTAAAAAATTATAATTAGTATACAATTATATTATCTATTAGCATAAAACTAAAAAATTAAATAAGGGGTCAAACTATAATCGACACAATATCTTCTAACTTAAATTGGGATAATTTGGTAGTTTAATTTGGTCGTTTAAATGACTAAATTAAATTCTAATAGATAGTATAATTGCATATTAATTATAATTTTGTTAAGAAAAAATTAGATCTGACAAATAAAAAAGAAAAAAAAATTATTTTTATTTTAATAAATTTCATAATAAAACATAAATTTTGGTTGTAAAATTTAAAATATTTGATATTTTATCTTTAATTGAAGTATTTTTGATCTACGTATAATATTTTAAACTTAAGAAATATAAATATTACATGCTTACAAACTTTAAGAAGTCTCGGTGTAACTTACTAACAGATATAATAACAAACATTGACGGTATGAGTCTAAATATTACGCGTGTACAAACCTTAGGGAATCTATATGTAATATTTTAAATGTTAGAGATATAAATGATTAAGTGACAAACTATATGAGGTATAGGTGCAATTCTCCCTCGTTTTTATCCTAACTTTAAGATTACATACCAATATGCAAATTGAGGTGGTGTTTGATAAAACTGAATACTAAAAATCAAACATTGAATTTTAAGTGTTGAATGCTGAATTTTTTAATTCACAAACTGTTTGGTTTCAACTGAAATTTAAATATTGAATTTAATGAAAATGTTTGACAAATATAAGGCGCTGAAGTCTAAAAATTATTATTATTCTAATTTTGTCATTCTTTAATCATCTCTCCGCAACTACATTATTCCTATCACCACAATCACAATGGTGGTGGTAGTGATAACAGCAACGATAATGATGGTGACGATAATACAATGATGGTGATAGTGGTGACATAATATTAGTGACAACAGCGA